GTTGTCTTGAATTCAGTTTTGTATTCATTTATCTGTTGTCTTGAATTCAGTTTTGTATTCATTTATCTTTCCTAGAACCTTACCAAGTATCCAGTTACGCTGCCAATCCGTTCGGATTCTAGAGCAGCTCATAAGGAATGCATTGACGGAAGGTTTTTGGTGTAGAATCTTTTTTGAGGCGTGAGTCAACTCATTTTTTTTGTGCTCGATGAAAAAAGGTTTCGTCTCTACTGGATTTTGTTTGGAATAACATCGGCCTATTTTTGAATTTTTTTAAATCTTGGACTCTCTTGTCAAACTGAAATGGCGACCCGACCGCGGACTTGTGTGTACAACCGCCCCCACCCCTCGGCAATTCGACTCCCTGCCGACCCAAAGGGTCCCCCTTTTGTATTTTTTTGCGATATCTATTTTTGGTGACCAACCCTAAAAGTTTTCTAAATCGCCTTCGGCGCCAATATATGCTAAATTTGAGTGATGGAGTCCAAAAAAACGCAATTTTTTGGTCAAAAATTTCCAAAAATTGCCTAAAAACGCCTTTTTTGGCCTTTTTTTCACAACATTCTGCCTGCGGCACAGAAATTTATTCAAATGGCGGTCTTTACAGTGATATATGAGAGCTCGTAAAATCAGCTTGGTCGACCTAAAGAAGTCGGCAAAATTTTCGCAGTTTTTTTGAAAATCCGCCCCCTCACCCTAGATCCGCCCCTGAATACATCTAATCTTGCATCAGTACATTACTCTTGTACAAGCAATTCTTAGCTCCAGGGTTTTTGATCACTTCTGCAGTTTTTTCTAATTTCCGCTACTATTATGCATCTCGCCGCAAGAGAAATATATCCATTCGGATTTTTCGCAGAATAAGGAAATTGAATGAACACAGCATTTCAATTCTTCAATCATCAAAATCTTTAAAAGTTCAAGCAAGCCATAAAAGTTCAAGCTGGTTTATGAAAAAACTTCCTGTTGTCAAATTTTTGAATATTTTTAAGCAGTTCTCCCCCTCCCATTTCTCCCTGCCAAAGGGTGATTTGTTACGAGTTAGAAAATTCACGTACGTTTTACCGTTGAATTAGTTCTTGTAGGAGTAGAAACTAAGTACCATGGAGAGAATAGTTAACAGCGTCTAATATTTCGACCCGATTTTTTGTGTATTGCATAACGATTTTTGATCGTCTGCTTTTTGATCGAAACATTTAATGAACAACTAATCTGCGCTCAAATTGATTGCTCAATGCAAATTTAAACACTTTCCCTCATTCTGCATCATTCCTCTAGATGTCAACCTAAAATTGCCTAAAAAGAATTATGAAAATGCGCAATCAAACGTCTATTGTTTTAATTTTTTGCGGCCTCGACTTTAGATAGAAGTTTTAGAAATTTCGGGCAGCTACAAATACCCGCTCCTGAATCTAAAACTGCATGGCCTAAACAAATATGGGAAAACTGTTTCTACAGCATATTTGTATGTGTAGTTTTGTATCAGATCCCGGATCCTTAAGTGGGCTGTCTTCATGGAAAGCAGTCCTCACGTACTTTTTTGAAGGAATTTTTTGACGGATTTTGAAAATCAACGAAATTTCCTAGCCATAAAGTTGAAGACCCCCTCCTTAGGATCTTGCTAAGCCTAGATGAACAACAAAAGACACAATACATAAATCCCTCTAAAACAAAATTTTGGGTCCTAAACAATTTGTCCTGTTAATTACGTTAATCACATTCTTTCGTTCATAATTTTCTGACAAATCAACGTATGTCCTAGTTGAGAGTTATTCGTGGAAAAGGAATGGAGTAATTGCTGATAATAACTGCTATCCACTTACCGCTTTACTGTTACCACGTTTGCCGCTTATCTGTTTGCAGCGGATAACTGTTTTCTCTATTTGCGTATACTATATAGGTGCAGTAGCCAATATGCGCCAAATCTTTCATAAATAGAATCGACAAATCGATTACTGAATACAGAGTTGCTGCTCATGACAAATCAAAACCCTGAACGATAGTTAAAAAAATTTAAAAAAAAAGAAAATATGTTTCGAAATTTGTAAATTTTATAAATTGAGTTCTTGGAATTACGGAGAGTGGATAACTTTCCAATTATGTCAACAGAAGCGTACTTTCAGAGTAACAGATAGACAACCAAAAACTTGAAGTCTTTTTTAAAAAAAATGAGAAAAAAAACCCAGATCAAACGCGACAAATTTGGTTTGCTACAAAAGTGGGTAGAGCAGCTGTGGGCCACCTTTCAAAAATCTTTTTAAAAAATTGGAAAAAGAGTTGTTAATTAAACTAAATAAAGCACACCTAAAAAATAAGCAGCTTGTATAGAAGTGAGAAGTGAAGTCAGAAGACAAAAAACTGGGTACTCTGTTCCCACACCACACTGTTAAGCTGCAATAGAGAAAGTTTTCCTATTATTTAAACCCATCGACTATGAGTCCAAATATTTAAAACTGAAAGACAAACTAAGAAAGTTATCGATATTCAAAAAACATGATTCAGTTTTGATTAAGTTTGTGCTTGTTTGAAGATAATTTTTTGATAAGTGCAAATTTGAGTGCAGTTATAAGCAAATAGAAAATCTGAAAATTAATTCAAATTTGCATTCAATTTGTTTTTGTTACAAATTAAAACAAACTCTGGATTTCTCAATGAAAGGAAAAACGGTTTTGAATATAGAAGTTAATGCTTTTTGATAGAAATTCAAAATTTTTGCACTTAAAAATCAAAATGCGTCAGTACTGTTGATAATTGC